CTTAATGACATAGTAAATCCTTTGGGTGTACCGGTTATTATATTATAAGCCATTTTATTACAATTTTTCTTCAAGAAATGAGAGACCAAGCAAGGATTAACTAAAAAACTGTCATTTCAGCAACATTTATAGAACAAAAATTCAAATCTGTCCAACTCGAATGTCGAGTGTATCCTTTCTCTTTAGTAGCCCCTGATGGCTATACTCCCAATGAACGCCAAGTCAATTATATAATTAGTCGAGATTACATCTGGACTGTCTAACATTTCACTTTTAAGTTAACAATCTAGTCAGGCTTGACCATAGAAGTTAAAAAATGACCTCGATCTTTACTATAGGGGGTAAAAGAAAAAATTGTACCTCTATAAACTCAACTATGGACTGTACTGTAGTCTGCAGACAGCCATGTTGATTCAAAATATCAAGATAAAGTAAAGGATAAAACACTGAGCAGAATCAGTGCCGGCTACAAACCCTAGTATACTGGGAGACAGCGAGCGTCGAAAAGCTATTTAGGACAACAAGCAAACCAGCAAGGCTGCACAAAAATTGCAAGATAAAGGCTACGGAGTAAAAGCAAGACCATGGCGGAACCAACATTTAACCCAAAACCTGAGATTCAATTTACAAAGGTACGATCATTTTGTGACGCAATTGTAGCTTATAATTGGGAATAACAGTCTATGAAAGGATGCAATGATTAAGAAAGTAGAAGAATCATGTCTCACTTTATGCTAGTTGACTGTAAGTTTTCCTGCACTTGCATAGCTGAGTTTTTCTATAGGCATGCAATCGAAGTCGATTGAAGCATGCAATTATGAAATACAAGGCTATGATGAAGATGTTATGATAGAAAGTAGTTGTGTTATATAACAACGAGTATCATGTCTACGTTTTATACTGTCTAAATTTTTCCTTTTACAATAACAATGTCGTACCATTTGTTTCGGAGGTACAAGGTTATGATGAAGATGTGATGATGAAAAGTAGTTATGTAATACACGTAAATATCATATCTACATTTTATACTATCGGAGTTTTCCTATATATTACGAATGACATCGTTACATTCGATTGGCAAGAATAACGCTACGATGACGATACGATAGATAGTAGCTGTACAAGATCGAAGAGTTGTAGTATAAATTATATTTCAATTTTTCTCATCTCTGCACGAGATGCAGTTGCAGTTAAGAGACTTGTTTAATGCTTTTACTCAATTTTAGGCGTATATTTCTATTGACACTATGTTCTACTCCGTAGATTTTTATCAATAATGAATGGCATGATGCCGTCAGTGGCAAGACTTTTCCAACTATTAATCCAACAAATGGCGAAGTCATTTGTCAAGTAGCTGAAGGAGACGCGGTTTGTAAATACCATGTAGATTTTATAGGTTTAACTAGATCTTGCAAGAAATATAAAATATAAACGATTTATATATTGTGCACCCTGCTATAACAAACATCAAGCAAAGTGTACTATCTATATTTGATTATATCATACAGGACTATGTAAGATATATGATATACTATGATATGCATTACTGTAATATGTATACTGTACTATGATAAAGACTGCTATTACAGAATACAATATTGCATTAGGTCCAGGAATAGCCAAATTTTATACGCTATAATTACTAGTAAATACACTGATCTCTGTATTACTTGTACCAATAATTCAGGCCGATGTTGATCTCGCTGTCAAAGCTGCTAAAGATGCCTTTAAGAAAGGAAGTCCATGGAGAACAATGAATGCATCGAAACGTGGATTACTGATGAATAAATTAGCTGATCTAATCGATAGGGACAGAAAATACTTGGCCGTAAGTTTTAATCCAGCGATTACTTTCTTTGCATGATTATGACTTTACTTTTTCCTGATAAATGCAGTATTTGTATCTCATATACCTGTAATATTCAAACTAGCTTATGTTATAATACAATAATAAACGGCTTGATTAAACAATAACCTTACTATGAAATTACTACTCCAAATTACATTGGTAATGAAATATTATTATCGTAATTGGTAAAATTCTCATAGGAGTTAGAAACACTGGATAAT